CTATAGACAAATTGACGCCTTCTTTCGTATTCGCACACGAAAAAGATAGATTTATATATACGTCTTGCATAGAAATGAGACAGAGTGGTGTGATTCTTTGTCCCTTTCTCCATGCCGGTTTTTTATTTAGCAAACTACACTTTGCTAAGCAACTTTGACAGTTCGTAGCGATCTAAGGAGTTTACAAGTTGGTTTAAGTGAGAAAAAAGTGTATTGTGAGCTTAAGATTGGTGAATCTTGTTCAGTTCAGTTCTTAGAACAATTATTTTATCTAAATATCTTTAGTCATAGTCATAAAGATTATTGTATAACCTAAAACTACGTTATCGTTCTTTCTCACTCGAGGCCACGCTAATCATTAGTCTATAGGTTTCTCTGTCTACGTACTATATACTACGTATATGTCTACGTAATAAGTGACTACCTACTTAGTGCGGCAGACATGCAAGTGTATTATACAATATGTATATATAAAATATGTGTGACTGAAAATAATAAATTAATTATATGTTCGTTTGTTGCAAATGTTTGAGTTTTAATAAGTTGTTTGTCTAAATTAATATGTTCAATTTTGCTATATAATTTTTTTTGTGTATAGTGTATATTTTATACTTGGTAGAGCCACGCTGCAGCTATATTATGGTTGCAGCACGAATGAGTCAGCTCGACCGGGGAAGGACCACGCTCTCACAGAATACCAGCGTAAATCACCAGCTTAATACTGATGTGCTTCGTATGGTGAGTGTAAAAATCCGGAGACCCTTTTTACTGGAAACGAGGCATTCCATCTTAGTCCTCAGGCGTGACAACGCATCTGCGTTTTGATTCTTAAGCGAGGATAAATGTAGATGTCTATGGGCCACAACATCCACTTACCATTGGCGTACTGTGTGCTCGCTTGTCACCCTTATTCTATAAAAGTATTTTTATTTAATAACGGTAATCAAACTTTATCAGCTTATCACGTTAGTAGTTATTCCTTGTTTTTCAAAAGAAGCGATGATGATGATCAATTATTCTAGTTTGGTTTATTAAATTATACAGATTTTAAGTTTAAATAGCATACAGATTTAATACAGATTTTAGCATCTGGCAACACTGGCGTCAATTCAATGTGAATCACAGACTAGTATGATGCTTACGCAAATGTGAATGATAAGATAGACATTTTGATAACTACTGTGTGTAATTAAATACTTATCTTATTATGAAAGTACCAGCTGGAAAAATGTATAATTATTACAGAAATATAAAGTAATTATAAAACAGTATTACAAAGTGGTTGTAAAGCGGCTAACAACAAAAAATGATTATGATATGTACCTATATTTTCTGAAAGAAAACAACGAAACTAGGGATTAGTTGCGGCGACGAGCCTTCCGTGGAGCATTAGTAGTCAATCTTGACGCAACTTCCTTTGGAGAAGTGGGTTCCTTAGACAGCCAAGGGTCATTGACCGTACTACACTTGTCGGGATTTCGACAAATTAAGGGGTTTTAGTTTTGCCATAGACTCAATCCTCTGACGTGATTTGTCCGGCAATATAATAACTATTTTGCCTTCTACGGACCAGCAGTTCTTAATCCCGAAATGTTTACCATAAATACTTTGTGCCTTGTCGTCAAAACTCAGATATCGTGATACCTGAACCTTTTAGTGAAGTTTTGTTATCCCAGACAAGACGACGACTCTCCAGACTACCAAATTTAACAAGCACTGGACGTGTTGAGGCTTGAGAAGATCCAAGACGATGGCATACTTGTATATCCTCGACTTTCAAATCGGTCACCTTCATTTGGTCGGAAAACAGCTTATATACCGATTCATGCAACTTCTCATTCTGTCTTTCAGAAAAACCATGGATAAGCAGTATTTTTCTTCTCATTGCTGTTTCATGTTTGTCATATTGTATGTAACTAAGTCCAATTGTTTTCTGATAAGCGATAGCGATTGACAAACAAAGGATTTGAAATCGTTGAAGTCCTTGGACAGTGAAGAAATGTCTGGGTGAACTGGCGTGGAAACAGCTGCGGCTTTTAAAAGCTTATCTTCATACTGCTGAGAAGCAAATAATTTTTCCAGTTCATCAAGATTATTTACAAGCTGTGGGTCCATATTAGACTGTTATGCAAAACTGTGCTTTAGCAATAAAAAGATAGAAGTTGTTAAGAACAGCACGTGTTGGTAGACTTTAGCAGTGTTTTAACACATTTATTTAGAAAGAACGAATACTTTAAATAATTTAACAATAATAAATATAATTAGCACACTGAGTTTGCGTGTTTACTTTGCGAGGTTTCTTTCAGTGAGTAATGTGTGGTACCCAAATATAGAGCTTTTTTGTATAGCCAGACTTTTTTAAATAGGGCAAAACTTTGAATAAAACTAAATTTACGGATTTTATCGCGTTTATTTCTCTACTTTTACTTATTTTAATTCCCGACGTTTCGGGGGCTTTACAGCACCCATGGTCACGGGGGGGACTGAGATGTTAGTCCGGCTACCTTCAGTTTTTGAATATTAATTTTTGGTTCGATTTACGCAAAACGAGCTTATAGTATCATGAAGTCTTGTAGTGGTATGCTTAGGTTTGGGTTTAATTTTGTTAATTATAGGATCCCAAGCAGGTGGCAGCACCCATCCATCTTCTCTATTGAAATTTGGATGTTTTTTAATTTCAATAGCCTCGCGTATCATCCTTGGTAGGAATCGGTGTTCTTTTGCGAGAATTTGTGGTTTATCAAATCGAATGTAATGGTGGGGACGATCTTGAACATGTTCGCAGACTGCAGACTTCCCGCAGCGTCGGTGATTCACGTCAGCTATATGTTCTTTCACGCGGGTTTTTATGGATCTTTTTGTTTGACACTCCTGCATCTTGTAGAGGGATGTTACACTTGACGGATGGTAAAAATTGACTAATCTTCTTCGGCGGCTTGTAGTATGTTTTAATAGAAGCTCGCTTCAAGATGTAGCCAACCTTGTCTATGTCTGTCTTGTAGTGAATATGGGAGATACGGGTGAGCCCATCGCCACACCATCTACTTGCTTGTAGAACTCTTCCTTCCACAATAGATAGCCAGATGTGAGGCAGTGTTTGAGTAATACTGCATATTCAGCAGGCATGTTATTATATTCTAGCTTTCTAGTTACAATTGATATGCAGTCCTCAATAGGTAGGCATGTGAATAGTGACTGAACATGAAAACTGACCATAGTTTCATTGTCAGTGAGATATAGGGCTTTTATCTCACTAACAAAATGGTATGAATTCTTTGTGTGTGCTCTGGTATGTCCTATAGTGAGCCAGATCGATTCACCAACTTATAAGCTGGCACAACACTTGGCAAAAGTACTGTCTCCACTAAGAGGACATACCGCCGTATAGTCGCCGACATATTCATGGAGGACTTCGAGGAGAAAGTCCTTCTTACTGCTCCTGTAAATCCAAGATTCTACAAGCGGTACGTAGACGACACTTTCACAATTTTACCATCTGACAAAGTAACTGCATTTTTAAACCACCTTAACTCTATAAACTCTAAAATACAATTCACAATGGAGTTAGAGGCAAATAATTCTTTAGCTTTCTTAGATGTTTTAGTCATCCGAAATCCTGATAACACTATTGGTCACACTGTGTATAGGAAAAAGACCCATACCAACCGATATCTAAATGGTGAATCTCACCATCATCCTTCACAGTTAGCTACCGTGGGTAAATCTTTGTTTCAGAGAGCACGAGGGATCTGTGACAGAAAACATCTGGCCGCCGAACTTCAGCACGTCAAGCAAGTATTGCAAGACAACAGGCTTCGGGTCCCGCGCCTACGTCACAGTGACCGAGTGAAGCCGGCCACAGTCGAGCGTGTACCTGCTGTACTACCATATGTCAGAGGAGTCACAGACAAGGTTGGCTACATCTTGAAGCGAGCTTCTATTAAAACATACTACAAGCCGCCAAAGAAGATTAGTCAATTTTTACCATCCGTCAAGTGTAACATCCCTCTACAAGATGCAGGAGTGTCAAACAAAAAGATCCATAAAAACCCGCGTGAAAGAACATATAGCTGACGTGAAGCACCGACGCTCCGGGAAGTCTGCAGTCTGCGAACATGTTCAAGATCGTCCCCACCATTACATTCGATTTGATAAACCACAAATTCTCGCAAAAGAACACCGATTCCTACCAAGGATGATACGCGAGGCTATTGAAATTAAAAAACATCCAAATTTCAATAGAGAAGATGGATGGGTGCTGCCACCTGCTTGGGATCCTATAATTAACAAAATTAAACCCAAACCTAAGCATACCACTACAAGACTTCATGATACTATAAGCTCGTTTTGCGTAAATCGAACCAAAAATTAATATTCAAAAACTGAAGGTAGCCGGACTAACATCTCAGTCCCCCCCCCCCGTGACCATGGGTGCTGTAAAGCCCCCGAAACGTCGGGAATTAAAATAAGTAAAAGTAGAGAAATAAACGCGATAAAATCCGTAAATTTAGTTTTATTCAATGTGTAGTGTTCGCGTAAATTTAAGAAATCATTAGGTCAAAACTGTTTTGTGGTCAGTCATTGATTCCTCGGTATAAACGTCACAAATTTTTTTCGCGGCATGTGACGCATTTTTCCCTTTTTTTGTAATAAAACTTTATAATATATGGAATTTCTTCGTTAGATTTACTCATTTTGGCAGATAGAAAAACAATTGAAAAATGGCGGTAGTGTTTTTTACTTTTTCATAATGTCCTATATGTATTGATATTAAAACCAGACAGATACAAACACCATAAAACTAAAGAGATTATTTTCAATTATATGCAATTAAAATACGAAGAAACTTTCCCATTGCACCTGCAAAAAAAGGTGATAAGACCGCCCCTTGGTACCCTATTTATTAAGGTGTTAACAATAAAAATTAAATAAATACAAAAATTAAAACTATTAAAATAATAGTCCAAAGCAAAACAAAATATAAGTTGTGAGAGACGCACCTGCCTCCGCAAGGCGTCCATCTCCTGCAGCAGCACGCGCAGCTGGCCCGCCACGCGGCGCGCGTGCGTCTGCTCCGAGCGCACGCGCGCGCTGTCGCCGCACTCGCCGTACTGCAACCGAGAGACAGCGAGGTATATCATAATGTATCAGTGTATGTGAGATATGAAATCTGATGATACTTGCAACACTCGATAGCTAAACAATGCGTTACTTTGAATAGGCAGTACTGCGATGCAGCATCATCAAGTACTGCGGGCAGTCCTTTCACGTAAAACACGGCCGCAAACACGCAACATGAAACAGCTACACCCCGATTTTGTACTTTTATTTTCCCACAAACAGTCTTAAGCAAAAAAATTATATAAACATATTCTTCTTACCCTTATCCCAAGATATTTGAGGCCGGCATTGCATGTCTTTCCCTTCTACTATTTTCTATTAACCGTCATCTCTTCACTCACTCCTTACGTGTATCATCTCTAACACATTCTATACATCTTTTCGTAGGCTTCCCTCTACACTTATATCCATCCACTTTCATAGCCAAAATTTTTTTTGGTAAATGGTTTACTTCCCTTTGCATAATATGCCCATACAAAGCTAGCCTACTACTTCTTAACTTTTATTTGTATTGAATGAAACTATTTATTACGGATTTTATCACGTTTAATTTACTTATTTTTAAGCTACCTGCGTTATATAATATATAAAAGGATATATAATATGTACTGTATACATTAATATACCACAGACATCCACATTTATCCTCAATGAAGAATCAAGATGCAGATGCTTTGTCACCCCTGCCGGGCTAGCATGAGCAGGGGATAAAAATTTTATCCACCGATTATATCCACTGACAAGGGATAAAATTGTCTTATCCCTATGTCAAAGCTTTATCCACCCTGCGAGCATGGGCCTATGGTGGATATAATATCGACAGTAGATAAACTTATCCCCGCGCATAGATAATATACGATAGCAAAGATGTTTTACAAAACATCTTTGTACGATAGTATAAAGCTATAAACTATACTAGCTATAAACTTCTTTTAAGATTAAGTAGCTTTACATTAACTTATATTTTCTTTTACCTTTTGTTTATTATATTACTAAAATGTTAATAATTTTTGTTAAACAATATGTCATTTATAATATTTGTTATATTTATTTTAAGCGTATTTCTGCCTTGTTTTTATTTTTTCTATTATTCTAATTCTTTCTTTATTTTCTTTTGTATAATATTTAAGTTACGTATACATTGCTTGTACCAAATCGCAGGTATTACTTCGCTTGTGATAGCATTTATTAAAAAAATATGTGTCTAGATTTAAGCCAATTGCGAAACTGGACAATACAGACCCTTTGGAGGTGGTATAACCTCTTGAGGAAATTAAAAAAAATTATCCCCGCAATTACTGCCATTATAAGAAAAGTACAAAATACATCAAAATTGATATCTACTCTAAGTCACAAAGATTTAATTTTAATTGAAAATGATGAAGCATGAAGAATAAAAATGTAATGATTTCAAACAAAACAAGGAATAAATAATTTTATAATCATGAGTATTGTGTTATTTGTATTCCTAATATTACGTATATTAGTCTTTAAACTTGTATTTACCTACACAAGAGGCTAATTAAAGTATATTGCTCCCCACATTCTAATGATGGCCCCAATAACTGAGGTCAAGTACTTGCTGATTATTTGTTGTTTGAACAACAGCCATGCCATGGTCTTGAATCGTACCACTCTAGTAGGTAACTACCATCTACCGCGAGACTGAAAGATGTAAACTACCTACCCAGAAAAAATATTAAGATAAGTTAGATAAGCCACATGTATTGATTGCAAATATACGATGTTTTTGGACAAGGTGGTTGTAATAGATGCTTACTTCAATATGCACTGGTAATCCATCCACAGAATTAATAGGCTTTAAAGCCTCATAGAGTTCTTTACACAAATACAAAACAATCTTTGAGCATCCGAAACCGGAGTAGAAATTCGTTGTCGGAGAATTCCAATAGATTAAGTATTCTGATCACGTATCGATCGCTGGTGTAATTTTCTTTCTTGTTTTTCAATTTCTGACACGAAAATGTAGTTGCAATAGGCTCGAGACATCTTTTTTCGTATTAAAATGGTTTGAAGATAAACTTAAACCCACGTCCGCAAAAGAGGATAAAATTGTCCCTTTCCAAATGTCAAAAAGGAATAATTTTTTCTCTTTCCCTTGGCCTCATGCTACGGATGGGGAGATATATGTCTACTCGTTATGTCAAATGGGGATATACTATAGATAAGATAATTTTATCTCTTGTCAGTGGATATAATCGGGGGATATAATTTTTGTCTCTTGCCCATGCTCGCAGGGTGGATAAAATTAAGCAAGGGATAAAAATTGTATCCTCTCCCCGGGGATATATTGTCCCCCGCCCATGCTAGCCCGGCTGGCAGCTACATAATATGAAATGCCTTGATTTCAGTAAAAAGAGTCAGTGCTCTATACTCGGCATACGAAACACAGCAACATTAAGTTGGTATTTTGTGAGACCGTAGTCCTTCCTCGGTCGAGTAGAGCCAATTGTGCTACAATCATATTATAACTATTATAAAATTACTAGAGCGGCGCGGCGACGGGAAACAGCGTCAAAGATTTGCGTGCAGATTGGCGGATCCTACCTGCTACTGAAAAGGTTCATGTCCAACAGTGAACCATTTAGGGAGCGTTAATATATGCATAATATACCAGACTATTATTACCGTTACTGTTACATACAATATGTATCAAGAAATATTTTGCACAGATCAATGCATAGACTACTACTACACACTCACTAATATACATTTGAAATATCATATGAACAGGCATTGCGCTCCTAGTGCCAGCTATTTTGTCTACATCATTCTAACCAAGTCCACTGCTGAAACATAGGCCTTATCCATAAATTGACTCTTGAGGTAGATTTTGGCTATAGTTGCCACACATGACATGTTGGGCTTGTGGTTGTAAGCGTGACTGCTGATCAGGAGGTCCCAATTTCGAACCCAATGTCGGGCCAAAATCTGTTATTGGATTTTTCTATTTCTAATATCTCGTGTCGGATTGCTGTCGGACTATGATAGTAAGGTAATATCATGCATCTGTGCTTTTCCTATAGTCGTCTCTGCAAAGGGGCTAACTCCAGTCAGCCTCTCATGTCATCTGAGGCGACAGGCACTTTGTGACGGCCGCTCCGGGCTAAAATGCGGGACGGTACTCCTCGAAACTGCCAGCATTGTCCGCCGGTTTCTTTCCCTTTATCTCTAATCATCGGCCGTTTGATCTCCCCTGCCAAGAGCTTCCATCTGGTTGGTCTTTTATTTAGTTATCTATTATTTACTTATTTTTTTTTTTATAATTTATTTTATGTACACACATTAAGGTACAGAAGCAGTCTTATAGTAATTACGTACAAAGGTTCTACTTATTCCAAATTCGCTGAAATATCTTCCAGTAGACCCATAAAGGAAATTATATTTAAATTGCAAACTTAGTGCATACATTAGTACTACAAAAAATAAATAATATACACAATGTTACGGAAATTATATAAAATAAAACAATAAATAAAAATAAAATAAATCAATAAGTAATAATAATAATTGATACGATAGTTTTTTTTTATTATATATATATATTATATATATATATATATATATATATATATATATATATATATATAAATTAACAGGATGCAAAGTAGTTATCTCTAAGACGTTTCTTGAATATCAACAAAGTTTCGGAATTTCTTATATTTGACGGTAGTGAGTTCCATAATCTTACAGCGTGAACTGAAAAGGAGTGGGAGTAATAACCGGAATTAAAGACGGGAAAGTCAAGAAGATTTTTAACAAGGGCTCTGCATGGTTTGTCCGGAGGATGGGTGAAGGAAAATCGGCTTCTGAGGTATGTGGGAGAGGAAGGGTTGTGCAAAATGTTATAGAGGACACATAACAATCGAGTGTTCCTTCGAAGTCGAATAGGAAGCCACTTGAGTTGCTTACGAAACTGAGATATACGGTCAAATTTCTTGAGCCCAAATATGAAACGGATACACTGATTTTGCAAGCGCTCAAGTTTATTAAGAAGCTCCTCTGTAGCATCCAAATAACAGGCATCCGCATAATCAAGGAGAGGTAGGATAAGAGTAAGCACGAGTGATATTTTAGCTTTAAGGGGAAGAAATTTTGTAGACATTTAAGCGAATGCAAAGTAAAGTAGACCTTGCGACTAACTTCAGCGATATGCGTGGTCCATGTTAAATGGTGATCAAATATGACGCCTAAGTTTTTGACAGGCAAAGGGTATAGGAACGCCATTAAACCAAAAGGTAGTGATGTAAATTCTAATCTATTACGCAAATGCCTACTGCCTATTATGATGGCCTGAGATTTCGTGGGATTAACTAATAGTCCGAAGGATGCAGACCATTCACAGATGCGGCCTAGATCCGCATTCATAGCTGCAATTGCATTATTTGTATCACCCACCAGAAAATGACGATAAAGCTGTAAGTCATCCGCGTAGAGATGGTAATTAGATGTAATAACACTCGTAATAGAGTTAATAAATATGGAAAATAAAAGGGGGGAAAGAACGCCACCCTGAGGTACACCCGTAGTGATACCCGACCAATCGGATAGAGTGTCATTAACACGGACACAATGTGATCGGCCACGAAGATATGAATCAAACCATGCGATGGCAGATGGGGAAATGTTTATAGATTCCAGGATCCGGAGAAAAATATCAAAGTCTACTGAGGTAAAAGCACTACTAAAGTCAAGCAAAACTAAAAGTGTAAGAGATTTATTGTCCATGGCCCAACGGATATCGTCGGTTACTTTAAGTAAAGCAGTGACAGTGCTGTGTCCACGACGAAAGCCCGACTGATAAGTGGAGAGCAAGGAGTTAGACGATAAGAAGAGAGAGAGTTGACTATGAATGATGTGTTCCAAAACTTTAGAAAGAAAGGGTAAAATAGATATGGGACGAAAGTGGGACAAAGAAGAAGGATTAGAAACCTTAGGCAGAGGAATTATATATGCTTGTTTCCAAACTGAAGGAAAAGATGATGACGATATAGAAAAATTAAATATATGAGTAAGAATTGGTAGAAGTAAAGGTAGAACTAGTAAAATCATCTTCGCACATAGACCATCAATACCAACAGCATTTGAAGAGATGGCTAGGATGGATTTTTTGACATCTTCCTCCGTTACAAGGGAAAGATGAAAAGGGCAAACGTGCGGTTTCGGTATACCCGCCAATGCGAGTAGTGTGTTGGATTTGATGTAAGGATCTAAAGTCATAGGAGGAGTAGCAAAGTGATTGTTTAGATCCTTTACTTTAACGTCATTGTATTCTAGGATCGGAGACCTGCCCACACCAACAGAACGAAGGAACTTCCACATCTCAGTAGAATTTTTATTGTGTAGAGAGTTGTAAAAGTAGCGTCTTTTAGCATACCGACACAAGCGACTGCAGCGGTTGCGTAAAAATTTAAAACGATTTAAGTTATTTTCAGATGGGAGACGTTTAAACCTTTGCTTAGCTTTGTCCCTCTGGCCCATAAGTTCTCTTATATCTTGTGTAATCCAAGGTGCAGGATTACGCTTTATTTTTACGCGTTTGAGCGGGGCATGGTTATTGTATACCTTCAAAATTATATCATTAAAATTACAAACCTTCTCATTAATATTAGTATTGTCAACAATAGGTGTCCAATCAACATTACTTATATCATGCTGCAATGACTCCAGATCTATTGCCTTGTAATTACGAAGGAACAAGGATTGGGATTTCTTTTTAGGTGGACAGAGACGATAAGAGAGGTAGATTAAATCATGATGTGAAAAAGAGGCAGTTATTTGTCCATGAGACATGACACTATCAGTAGAAGAAACGATCATAATATCAAGCAATTTTTGTTAGTATATTAACTATATACTTATGTTTATTTATCATTCCCTTTTATATATTTATTCAGCCCAACTACATGAGAATGCTCTATAAATACCTCAATAACAATAATATGGGATAGTGGATTCTGGACATGTAAATCATAGCCTAAATCATTAGTCAGAGTAGAGTCCAAATGGGATGAATCAATTGCAGTCTTGACTTTATGCAAAAATTTTGAGTACTGCAGCACCGATAAAAGAACATTGCCTAAGACATTTGAAAAAATCTAAGTTCTTTGATTATACTGTAGCTGTGTGATAGATAGAACCAGTTTATTTGCACGCGAAACCAAAAGCATGCAGCATACCAACCAAGTATTTCAACAACTAGGCCACCCTAATATCATTAAACATTTATTCACTTGGAACAAATATGATATCAGTGTCCTACTGACCTTTAAATTATTATCCTATGTTCTATATATATATATATATATATATATATATATATATATATATATATATATATATATATATATATATATATATATATATACATACAATTTATATACCTATCATGTTAAATACAAATTATTATACTTCAAACTTAGGATTTTTATACACATGTAAGTACATAAAGTCTCATAGCCCTCACCCAGAGGGGTAAGCAGAGACACAGATTTTTTTTTATTTTTTTTTTTATAGAAGAGGGGGGCAAACGAGCATGTGGCTCACCTGATGTTAAGTGACTACCGCCGCCCATGATCAACCGCAATACCAGGGGAATTGCAGGTGCGTTGCCGGCCCTTTAGAAAGGAGTAAGCTCTTTTCTTGAAGGTCCCCAGGTCGTATCGGTCCGGAAAAATCACCGGTGGTAAATTATTCCACAGAGGTTTTACACGGAAGAAAACTCCTTTTGAAACGTACAGTGGTGGACCGCCAAGCATCCAGATGGTGTGGATGGTATCGGGACGTTTGCCGTGTAGTGCGTTCACAAAATTTGGCGGCTGGGATTAATCCGAACAATTCCTCAGAGCACTCGCCGTGAGAGATGCGATAAAATACGCAAAGAGATGCAACATCTCTTCGCAGCGCCAGTGAATCGAGCCGATCGGAAAGCACTCGGACGTCAACGATTCGAGCCGCTCTGCGCTGGATGCGGTCAAGTGGAAGGAGCTGGTACTGGGGAGCCCCAGCCCAGAGATGGGAACAGTATTCCATGAGCGGCCTAACCTGCGCCTTGTAAAGTTGCAGGCGGTGTGCCGGCACGAAATACTGTCCCGCTCTGCTGAGCACGCCAAGCTTTTTAGAGGCCAATTTGGCCTTCCCTTCCAAGTGACCACGAAACTGCACGTCACTCGATATGTCGACGCCGAGGATTCCGATACTGGCTGAGGCAACAAGGGGAGTGCCTTGAAACCGAGGGGATACGACAAAGGGGTTCTTTTTAGCGGTTAACGCGCAAACTTGTGTCTTCTGGGGGTTAAACTGGACTAGATTTAGTCGCCCCCAATCCGAGACTCTGTCCAGCAGAGACTCGACTTCAGACACAAGTTTGTCCCGGCACTCAGAGACGTTTTCCCGAGAAATATTGGCTCGGCCGGTGTAAAGAGCATCACCAGTGCTGTCATCTGCATAGCAATGAATGCTACGGGTTTGCAACATATCATTGATATGCAGAAGAAACAGCGTTGGCGATAGCACGCAGCCCTGTGGAACACCAGCATTAATAAGCTTGCAATCGGAGCTTGCACCGTCTACAACGACCTTGATGCTCCGATCTGCAAGAAAACTGGTGATCCAATCGCACAATTTCTCGGGAAGCCCATAGGAAGGGAGCTTCGAAAGAAGCGCTTTGTGCCAAACCCGATCGAAGGCCTTCGCAATGTCCAAACTAACGGCCAATGCCTCCCCCTTGGACTCTACTGCCTCCGCCCATCTGTGAGTTAGGTAGACCAGAAGATCACCAGCTGACCTACCACGGCGAAAACCGTATTGGCGGTCACTAATCAGCTGGTGATCCTCAAGGTACCTCATGAGCTGGCAGTTTACAATGGACTCCATTGTTTTGGAGAACAAGGAGGTGATGGCGATAGGCCGGTAGTTGGACGGGTCTGAGCGGTCGCCTTTTTTAGGGATCGGGTGGACGAAAGCCGTCTTCCATGATTTTGGGACTACGCCTAGGGAGTAGGAGTACCGGAAAAGACGCGTTAAAACCGGTGCCAACTCTGGAGCACACGTCCTCAGCACAATTGGGGGGATTCCATCAGGCCCACTCGACTTATGGATGTCCAGGGAGAGGAGTGCTTTGCGAACCGAGCGTGGAGTGAACTGCACTTCCGGCATGGAGCACTCACACCGCGGGATGGTCGGCGGCGTACTCCCCCCGTCATCGAGAGTCGAGTTAGACGCAAAGAAAGAGCCTAGAAGATCAGCCTTCTCCTTTGCGGTGTGGGCCAGTGAGTCGTCCTCCCTGTGCAGAGATGGAAGAGATGGCTGACAGAAATTCCCCTGGACAGGATTGGCGAGAGACCAGAATGCACGGGTTCCAGAAGGAAGACGAACTAGTCTCTCGCCAATTCTGCCTATGTGCTCTAACTTTGCCTTGGCAATGACTCTTTTGAAGGACCTAGAGGCGGAATTATACTTCGTTTTTAGAGCGCTGGTGTTTACATCCCGGGACGCTGATGCGTCAGCCCAGGCTCGGTAGCACTCCTGCTTATAGCATGATGCTATTTTACAGGAGCGACCAAACCATGGCTGAGATTTGCCTCCAATGGGCACCACAGAGGAAGGAATAAAAAGTTCCATACCCTGAAGTACCACATCAGCGACAGAATCCGCAACAACGTTGGGATCATCCGGCGAGAAGCAAACCCGCCCCCAAGGGTAGGATGCAAAGAAAGACCGCATCCCATCCCAATCGGCTGACCTATAGTGCCAAACATGGCGGCACTCACAGACAGACACATAATTTTAAGTAATAAACCAAGATTATTAAGTAATAATAAGTTTATCTACCCCTTAATATTAAACTTAACTCCTTAACCCCTTAATATTAAACTTTGAAGGAGGTGTGAGGGCGGAGGGGAAACCGCCTTCAAAAATATATATTATTTTTGTTTTTGAATCACAATTGAAGTATCTTAGTACAATATTTTAAGGGAAAATACACTCCTTGTAACCCTCCCCTAAACAATACATACTTCTTATTTGAAATTACTGTCAAAACTAGGTTTGAGCAAATCTGCAGTCAATATCCCTATTTTAGGGTAAGTACACTTTTCCCGAGTTAAATTAATTTTTCCTAAGACTGACAAGATGAACAAGATGTTTATGGCGGTCTCAACATACTGTCGCTGATATCGATTCCCAACAAGAATCAAGTACTTGTTTACCAATATTTTTTCAGACAAAATATTTATGGCTAAACATCTTTAATGAAATTACTATAGACTGTTTAATCATTTAAAATTGATATTTAATAGGAAATAGTTTCAAATGTAACATAATTTATACTTTATTACCATTAATTTCAGTTGCAAAGTACAAATATAAGAATATATAAGCAAGATTATTGAAGGATATAATAATTTTGTTCATTGTTCAAACACTATGTTTCCAAGCACTGAAACTGTACATTACTTGAAAGTGCTTACTTTTGGTAGTTAATCTAAAGGTGAACCAAATAATATATCTGAAAGAAATTTTACAAATATTATATAAGAAAAAGATTGATGCAATCATTTGCTGAGTCAGATGAAGCTGTAAGAGTCGCATAGACTAACAGCACTAACATCCAGATACTAGAAATTGAGCAAAGAAAATAATATCGGAATTGTATAAAAATTTACTTCGGTACATGTGACTAACTTACGTCAGAATTAGTGAAATCCAACAATTCATAGTACGACACAGTTTATTTTTAGACTTGTCTCCTAGAAATCATTGCGTATTACTCAACGCAGAAGTGTTTTCAGTAATAATCACGACGGACTGTAACCATAAAAATGGTTTTAAATTTTCTAATACAACTTAAGCGTATTTTACCTTGATAATATTAGCCTTGTGTTGTCGTAACAAATCCAAATGATGAGGAATTGCAACTTCATTAAACTTTGTTAAGGAAAGTTCTACTCGCTTTAGAGGCAATTTACCAGCTTCCTCCATAGTAATTTCAGAAATTTTGCTAAAGAATATAAACAAAAATTATACGTTCTATTACATTTCAGTCCTCACACTATAGTTAATCTCTGTTAAATAACTAAGTAAAAGAAAATGAATACATCTGCTAACACATGTTTTTGTTTAGGTGTTGTCGTTTGCTTTGACCATAGATAAATAGATATGTTTGACAAAGCAGCAAACGTCAATTACCAAATCTCAATTATTTATTTTATTTGGGATTGGCTAAAAGGCTTTCAGCCATAAACAATAATATAAATTCGTTAACATTAAACACTTTGAGTATTAAACCAAAGGAGATGGCATCGCAAGTTCGCAAGGCACACCCCTCTGTCAAAGGTACGAGGGTCCGACTCAAACCCGTTATGTAAAACCATTTGCTTCGCGTCGTACGCCATTACGCAAGAGATCGTGCCAGTCAGTTGAGCTGCAAACGACAAAAATACCGAATTACAGTGTATCAACATCCAAAAAACAATCAAAACCGACAAATCTACAAAAGGCCAATGTAACTTTTATCTGTGAGTACTTTTAAGATAATATTATCGTTAAAACTCGTATGTTCAGCAGAGTTCATGAAGTGAAAAAAAGCGATTTTTAAATGAATATAATTTAGTACCCAAAATAAATATATTAACAAAAATTTATTTCATACTAACTAAATCAGTCTGGGTTGAATAATAATCATCACATTTAGATAAAAAAAAAATTAAATGTGCGTTGGTCGCTGTAGTTGATATTTTTTTTATTGTTGTCTAGGAGAACTACATAATATTATGTTTAAGTAACTTTAAATACTAAAAATCTTTGATTCATTTAATATTATGAATAGTTTTGATTTGTGATTTGTACGATATACTTTCTAATATTTATGATGCGAAAGTATTATAGCGTACGCGTTAAGTATGGAATGTTACGATATCACGTCTAAACTGCTTAATTGATTTTAAATAATTTTGGTAGTTATAGAATGAAGTAAAATTAAATGTTTTTTTTTTCTTTTTTTTTCTTTTTCAGCTTTCCAAAAGACCGAATCTTGATGAAAAAGTGGATTATCGCTTTAAAAGAAACAAATTGGGAACCAAACATATGGAATAAAGTTTGTTCAGTACACTTTCTGGATTCAAATTTCTATGAGACAAAAAAAGGACTGCGCAAATTAATAAATACCGTTATCACATCGCTTTTTCTTCGTCCATCAACACCTGATCATAATCAAGAAGCGGCGTTATTGAATTCTGGCAAAGTAAGTGTACCTTTCGAAAAACACGAACCATCTACTTCAAACGACATGCAGATCGATCCAGAAGTGCCTCCAGACGTATGTACACTTCTTCCAAATGTAGGCGATACCCCAAGAAAACTAAAATTGAAAAAAGAAATTGTTCGATTGGAAGACACAGCTAAACGTCGCAGATTGCGATGCAATGTGCTCTATACAACACGTCGGCGTTTGAAAAAGAAAGTTGAAAATTTGTCGCAAGTACTCAAAGAGTTGATAGAAAAGAGATTAATTACTCAAGAGCAGGTTGACCTTCTAGCATCGTGTGGACTTTCTGCAGCAGCTCTCATTAAGAGAATGATAAGTAAAGGCAAGGAATATTCACCAGAGCTCCGCACATTTTCGCTAACACTCCACTTTTATTCTCCGAAGGAGTACATTTAACACATGTCTGCCACATCCGAGTACAATTCGAAAATGGTACCAATGCCTCGATGCGAGTGCAGGTTTCACTGCCGAAGCATTCAATGCTCTTCGCGAAAAGGTAAAGGCGACCGAAAATAAAATTTTATGTAACTTAGTTACTGATGAAATGTCCATACGTAAACTCAAAGAGTTTGATGGCAACAAAGTGCAAGGTTATGTGGACTTTGGAGCAGGAATCGACGTGTCCGGAGATACAGCCGTATTGTGTACACAAGCCCTGGTATTTCTTTTAGTTGCGGTGAACGGACAATGGAAAATGCCCGTGGGATACTTTTTGGTGGATGGCGTTACACGAGAGCAAAGGGCAAATTTAGTTCGAATGTGCCTTTCGAATTGCCACGAGGTTGGCATAGAAATGGTATCGATGACTTTCGACAGTTGTCCGGAAAACATTGCTATGGCTCGCGAACTCGGCTGTTCATTCGATCTAGGACAGTTGAAAACCCATTTTCCGCACCCTGAGACGGAACAATCTATCTATGTATTTCTTGATCCGTGCCACATGACCAAACTTATCAGAAATACATTAGAAAGTAAAAAGGTTTTTCAAGATAACAATGAAGGCCTTATTAAATGGCAATATTTTGTTGAGCTTAACACCTTGCAGCAAAATGAAAAATGTCACCTCGCTAATAAATTAACAACAAGACATATTGATTTTAAAAATCAAGTCATGAAGGTAAAACTATCAGTGCAATTATTAAGCGCTGGTGTGGCAAAAGCTATACAATTTTGTGATCAAAAGCTGCATTTCTTAAATTTTGCCAACTCCGCCGCAATGGTAAATTTTACTTATATGGTAAATAATTTGTTCGATATTCTAAATTCACGGAAGTTTCTCGGAATTGACTTCAAAGCTCCCATTAATTTAAAAAAATGAGGCAAAATATATAACGTTTCTGGAAAATGCCAAAACATACTTAAAACATTAGTGTTTCCAAATGAAAATCAATAAGTTGTACATTCAAGAAACAAAATTGGATTTCTTGGAATTTGTGTGTGCATTGAGAGCATGAAAGAATTGTATTACAGACTGGTCAAACAAGAAAATAAAATGGATTCAATTGCAATGTACAAAATAAGCCAAGATCATCTGGAGATCATTTTTTCAGTGATACGATCTCACGGTGGCTTTAATAACAATCCGTCGGCCTCTCAGTTCAGAGCTATCTACAAAAAGCTTTTGGTGCATATGGAACTTAAAGAAAACTTTACCGGAAACTGTGCGTCCCTGGAATAAATTACTCTACTAACCTGTTCTTCATCCGCTGATCATATCAACCTAACGATTAAAGGACACAGGTCAGCTGCACAAGAGGACGATGCTATGGTTGATGAACAATTTATGAGTAATTTTGTGGATGATGATTTGAATTTACCTGCGCTTGAACATTCTTTTGTTTTACAGCACGTCATCTCCTATATTGCTGGATATGTAACAAGGTATTTACTATCTAAAATAGAGTGCACTGACTGTTTATCGGCTTTAGTAGCAAAGACACCTTCTCATTATAATTCGTTCATATTATTTAAAGATAGGGGAGGTCTTATATATCCGTCTGAGGTCGTGATTCATTTATGTAATGCCACTGAAAAAATTGTAAAAAGTAATATAGAATCGAAAAACGGAGCTGATCGTGATCCTCGAAGCATGGTTACTAAAACGCTGAAGTTGTTCATTGGAACAGATATATTTAATGTTCTTCATGCTCATTTATTTGAACAAGAACCTTGTAGCAACCATTTACTGCATTTGCTTAGAGCTGTAATTCAAAAATATATTGATATACGCGTCAAATATTTGGTACGAAAATCAAATGTCCAAAAAACTAAAAGACAGGTTTATAACAAGCTTACGCGTTTTAATGGTCGGTAAAAGGAACTATAACTAATCAACAAAAATTCTATAAAGTTCATGTAAATGACATATTATAGGTATTTGATTTACTAATAAAAAATAAACACAAAACCCGATCTTTTATTTTATGAACCTTTATAACAAGTCCACATGACTTTCTGAGATTTCTATTACACAATTGATTCATGATTACAAACTAATATATAAATACATACACAAACATTATTCGTATAATAGAATAGGAAATAACATATTAAACATAAAAAGTACAGTCTAAGAAAGACATTTATTGATATCACTTATCGATATCTCGTTGCCGATCGGCACGTAACTGTTACATCCCTATCTGTCATACACTCATCAATATAAGTACCTATAGGCCAACTGCCTACGACGCGTTCTAAGCAATTTGTGCAATATGCGCGCTCTATACTTACGTTAGTACTCTTATTAGTTTGTGTCTATACTACTGTTACCTAAGGCTCTCTAATAAAAAAAATACGTTGGTCATGGATGAAATGAAAATTAAGCAGTTGACAGAATAGCACGCTAGCAACCAAAGGCGTTATGGCTATGTCGACTACGGGTTTGAATTTATATCCGATAATTTCGATGAAGCTACTAACACATTAGTGTTTTAATTGCTCTTTATAAACACAACGTGGAAAGTACCAACAGACAACTATTTAATTAAATTTGAAGTTTGATTAAAAATGCGATATATTAAAATTTAAAAAATGTATAGAGTTGAATAAAACTATTATTTATGGATTTTATCGCGTTTAATTACTACTTTAATTTATTTTTATCACCCATGGTCACGGGGGGACTGAGATGTTTGACGTCCCAACTCCCAATGTCATAGTTAGTCTGGCTACCTTTAGTTTTTGAATATCAATTTTTGGTCCGATTTACGCAGAACGAGCTTACAGTATCAAGAAGTCTTGCAGTGGTATGCTTGGGTAAGGGTTTAATTTTGTTATTAAGTTAGTTAATTTTGATAATAAAAATAAATTAAAGTAGTAATTAAACGCGATAAAATCCGTAAATAATAGTTTTATTCAATGAGTGGAAATCATTATGTATAGAGTTCTTAATCAATAAAAATGCCTACTTTAAAATATTTACAATCATAAAATTTCATCAATGAATAAGGATCTCATAATTCGAAGGAATTTTTGTGTTGTCTGATTCCTGGAAAAGACGAGCGCGTGTGGCCTCCCTGATATTCAATGAGGCCTGTTGGGAGCCGCCCCATCCGATTTCTTCTGAGCGCTCACGTTGAACGGATCTGAATTCCTACTATACGTGTTAACATCTTCGTAACATTGAGGTATTACTACTTCGTAAAGAGAAGACAACGCGTTGCATGATTTTGCGCCACCCTTTGCGGTACACTGTACCGCATCTGTTAAGTGAGTGTCCAACGCGCGCACAGACGAGTCGTGTTCGCTTCGCATAAATAACAACTTCAAAATGCCTACTTGTGTTCTTAAAGACTGCAGTAAACGCTCCAGAATATCAAAAAAAAAATATATGGTTTAACATTTCATTGGTAAGTAGACATTAAAACGTTTAAACTCTTTCATTTTAAGTTTTTCGCGTTGTTACAATGCTCACGAGAATCGGGCAAAATGTAAAATCTATGAGAGTTACTTGTTGTACACTACGTTGTACGATACGCGTAAGCGTCATAAAATTATGACGTTTTGGTCGCGACAAAACTAATCCCTAATGCAAACTAGCGGTGCATGATTTAATAGTTTGGTTATACGACGTAACTATTATTTTAGCGCTGCAGCGAACTTTAGTTTTAACTCTTACCAAAATGAAGCAAACTTTTGATACTGGGTGTCTGTTCTATACGCTAGTAATATAGTTCGATGCTTCGTAATGAACAATAAAATGACTATTTTCAGTGCTGAATTTTCTGTTTCACGAGACGTCGAGTGTAGCTAGTTAAGATTCGAAATTACCCCAAGACGTTTTTAAAAAGAATTTATTTAAAACTTAAGACTAATGATGTGTGATACATATACTACTTAAAACTACAAGTCCGATACATGTGGGAGCCTAACTAAGTTTACCGTTGCTGGACTCGAAGACATCGTCGTACTCATTAGTCAGCGATCAGCGGATTTTCCTCTATATTTTCCTCTATATTTTCCTCTATATTTTCCTCTATATTTTCCTCTATATTTTCCTCTATATTTTCGTGATACCTGCACAGACTGAATTTTTTAATTTTAGCTTCGCGGTTGTCGTCATCTGAAATTATGTAGGTTAAAATTAAATTACAGTATGATATCTCATTTCCACACTTCTTGGTAAGTACTCGTAAAACAGTAGTTTTTGAGTAAAACATCCATCGATCAGTTTGTGTTCTTACAACTTTTACATCATCGAACTCTGCTAATATGGGTTGGCATTGTGGTGGTGGGTGCTGCAAAACTCATTAAACTGACGACATAGTTATCTTTAATTAGCATGGGTGAATAATGCTCTTTACACCGGATCAGCGAGTCATCAACTAGTTTACATGGATGAAGAAGTGACACCGTTTTCAACCCTTTCATCAAGAGGTAATGGTATTTAGGTACAATAAGGGATGGTCTTGGTTTATGGAATTAGTGATAGGTAGAGGGAGGATTCTGTAGTATATGTATATATTAGAATCAACAAAGAGTATATCCAGAATAAATTTTATTTGATTTTCCTTTTTATATACTTTTAAATCTATAATCTGTTCTAATTTTAAAATATTTTTTAATTTTTTTAGTTTTTAACAATGACAAGAGTTCATCGATGTCGACGTAGACGGATGCAATATTCCCATTGACTTATATATTACTATCCTTTTGAAATCATTGAATATTCCTAGTTTACTAAAAGCTACCGCCGTTTCAATTTCATCCAGTTTGATATATATAGCTTGAAAATTATGTAGAAACAGGTTATATACATTAGATATTTTAAGTTACGTTTGAGAGTTATTTGTAATATTAATTTATTTTCCCATCCAAATCTATCCAGCTGTATGAAATTCAATTTGGTACTATTTGTAATGTTAATAAAGGTTTTTATCATTTCGGCGAGTACT